GCCGGCCCCCGGCCCCCGTCCCTGCCTCTCGTGTTGCTGGGAGCCGAGGATCCCCAGGGCTTGGCGGCCCTGGCTGGGAGAGGGGCTGCAGCGCCCCAACCCTCGTCCCCAGCCCCACAGGCTGCTCGGTGCCTTAGGCGGCCTGGACGTCCTTCACCACGAGCAGGGGCTGGGGGCTGTCCCGCTCGGGCAGACGCTGTGCGAAACACAGTGGGAAAGACAGTGAGGAAAGCGTGAGAAGAAACCTGGCTCTGAGCGGGGTCAGTCTTAGCAGAAAGATGGAACAAAGTGCAGTGGGGAGCCCTCAGGAAGGTTATGTCCTCGGGCACCTCTCTGATGGCAGCATCGTCGTCAACAAAGCTCGATGCTCATATCTTTGGAGGAGCGAGTCGCAGGGAGGGAGCTGATGGAAGATTATTGATATAATCTGGATGCTGTTAGCGTGGCCATAAGCCATAACGAGATTTAGTGATGCTCTGAAAAACCCATTAAGTCGTTTTACATCTTAGTTTTCAAGAAGCGATTTAGCTCTGTGGACACACGGTCCCGGGTCGCTGCAGCCCAGCCTGGCATGCTGCGGCGCTGCTTCCCACTGGGAAGGCAGCTGTGCCCCACGTTCCCGGCTGCGCATGAGGAAGGGGAAGGCTGCGCATTGGATTTGTGGCGCTGGAGGAGCCCAGCCCGCCACGTGCGGCTGTGTCTCCGTCGCCGCTACCCGCAGCTCGCGAGGCACGCGGGAGAGGGAACAAGTCGGCTGCCGCTGCTAACCGGGGGCTAAATTCAAACAGGAACATCTCCCGTAGCCTATTTCAAACCCCCTGACCATGCAGTCTCCTGAATGAATTTCTGCCTGTTTCTTCTTGATGTACAGCGCAGCTGACATCTTTACTTCTGTTTTTTTTTTTTTCCTTGTTTTTCTTTTCTCCTTCCCACTTTCTCTCCGCACACGCTCGCATCACGCAGGTGGGCGCATCTCCTTGGCGTGCAGAGCCAGGGAGCCCACGTGCTCCGTTTAGGCACTTTTAATTACAGCTGCAAATGGAAACAGAGCGATTTCAGAGCGGGGCGGCAGGCGCCTCGGCCCCAGTTAGTGCTCCCCAGCGGAGATGCCTGCCGGGGAAACGGGCCCCGAAAGGCGCTGCTGGTGTCTGCAGGGGAGCCGGTTCTGACTGCGCCGTCACAGCGATTCACGCTCGGCGTTTGCAGTTGCGTCGTCGTAAACTGGAACGATTTGGCTGCTGGCACCAAACTGCTGGAGTGGCGCTAGGGAAGGGAATGGGAAAAGGAGATCCAGCTGCCTCCGTCCCCTTTCGGTTTTTGAGCAAACAGAGATGGAGTGCCCCAGACCATCGCACTGGTAAACATGCCGTTGTTTCCTTATATAAATGAGTGTGCGTTTGCCTGACAAAGACCCAAACCCAGCGAGCGTGCGCCGAGTTGACGGAACCCGGCCTGCGCCAGCGCCCACCGCCCGCCCCCGTGCCAGCCGCCAACATTGAGCATGGTGTGATTAACGCCACCTGGCACGTTTCGGTCCCTCCGCTGGCCAAAAAAGCGCCACGCGAGCCTCCCCCGCAGGCCTGCACGCCCGCGGGGCCCGTGCTGCGGCAGATGGGGAGCCGGCAGTGCGCCGAGGCGGCGCTCGCCTCAGCGCTGTGGTAAATAACATGGGCGCGAGCGTCGCCACAGTCCGCTGCGTAAGGGCGCCGCAGGTCTGGCTTCCCTCGTGGTCTGGCGGTCCTGAGCACCCGCCGGAGGGAGGGAGAGGATGGGGTAACATGGGATGAAGAGCTGGGGATGGTCAGCTGCAGGGAGGGAGCTGGTGAAGGGGTGAGAGGCAGTTGGTGGATGTGGGGCTGGGAGTGCGTGGGAAGGAAGGACAGGGGAAGTAGAAAGGAAGAGGAGACAAAGGGAGAAGTAAGGAGACAGAGGCAGACAAAGAGCTGGAAGAGGGGGAAAATAAATAAAAGAAAAAGCCACTATTGAATAATGTAGGACAAGCTACTGGGGCCTAATGAGAGTGACAAAAGACCCAAGCCTCTTTTTTCCCTCTTATTAGCAGATGAGCTGTGCATGAAAGCGGGGATGTGGGCTAGAGACCTGGGGGGGCCCGAGATGTTCTGCAAACCTGCAGCCTGTCCCCAGCCCTGCTGTCTCTGCCCCGCTTTGTGAGGCCTGCACAAGACCCGCAGACAGAGCAGCAGCACGAGGAGGAGCGCGGGGAGCAAGCGAGGGGCAGTGCGCGGATGGCGCCGGCAGCCCCGCGCACCGGGCTCGGCCCATCGCACGCTCTCTACCACAACTGAACTGAAAACGGAGCTTTCCTGGGGAACAGGAACAAGGCCGCAGCGGCAGCAATAGATAGCCCTAATAGGCCTCTCTCCTCTCAAAAGCTTGAGATGCCCTGCTGGCCATTGCCATTAAAAATGCCTTTTGCCTCGGAGGGGACAGGAGGCAGGGACACACCGCAGGGCGATGACTAAAGAGCAGCTTTGTCTCCCCATCTCCGCCCGCCGCGGCTTTGCCAAGGGAGCGTTTTCTCACTAATCTGTGTGTGTGATGAGAAGCCTCCCCGCGCGCGGTGCCGGCGAGGGGATAACGGGGCCTCGCTTCCCCCAGCCCTCCGAGCGCTGCCTTCGGCAGAGCCATCAAAGGAAGGCCGCGCTTGCCGAGCATTTTGTCCTCCTGAAAGACATTCTGTTCTTCGTGACGGAGTCCCTGGCGCGGCTCGGAGAAGCCCAGCAGGAACAGCCGGCTTTTGCTTGCCGGTTTGGGCTGCAAGATTGCTACTCCGGAAGGAGGATCGCATATGAAATCCGCACTGGTGGGGCTGGCGTTCCCGCGTGCCCCGTGCCCTGCAGAGCCGTGTCTCGCGGCAGCTCCGTGGGCAGCAGCCCTGCAGATGTGGGGCAGCTGTGCTCACTGTCCCTAGGGAAGGTGGCCCAGGTCTGCACCTGCGTGTCCCGGGAGTGGGACTCCGCTCTGGTCTCGGGTCTGGAAGGTGGCAGCTCCTTTAACCAAGGAGAAAATGCCAAAATAGCGAGAACCACAGGTAGGGAAGTGAAGATGGAGAATTTTAGGACAGAAGCATCCATCTCTCTTTCCTGACTGTGAGGATGAGTATTGACATGACTTACAAAGGCAGGGCGAGGAGGAGTCCCCTGAGTGCCTGGATCCTCATGCTGGCTGCTTCAGGCCATACAACCGCTCTCATAAACTTGTCACACTCAGTTTTACAAGCAGCTAAGGCTTTGCTCTCACAGATCCCACTGGAAGTCTCTTCCGGATCCTCATGCTTCTGTGATGCTTGGCAGCCACCGTCTATTTCCCAACCTCGCTGTACTCCTGGCTGGTTCGGATCCATCTGTTCTTACGCTAGCAGGATCCTTCAGCCCTTCCTTCCCCTGGCGCTTTGCCGCTGCCGACCTCCTTTGCGGTGGCTGGATGCTGCCCAGCCCTCGCCATCCCCTGGCTTTCGTCCGGGAGGACAGGTCCGCTGTAAGCAGGACATGGACATTTGAAATCCTCTTTGGCTCTGGCTTGCCTTCCCTCCCCTTTATGGTTAATGGTGAATAGAAAAGCTTTGGAGGGGAGGGATTTCCCTCTGCTTATATTCTGTATACCTTAACATCAGATCATGTCCATCATGGAAAAAAAGACATGGAGAGGGAAATTAAAAAGCTGGAAACTTTTGACCAGGCTCACAGTAGAAGGCGGGACTTGTCACTTTAATGTGGGATTTTTCTTGGTTTTGTTTTGTTTTGTTTTTGGCACAATGTAACTTCTCTGCATAGTTTTGGTGGAGGAACACGACAGCACATACTGTCTCAGTTCCCCAGGTGACCCCTCGTCCCTGCGGAGATGAGAGCAGGGATGCTCGGCGGCTGTCACATTGTTGCCGAGAGCGACATGGACACTTAAGTCCATTTACTGTGCATGGGGGCAATCCCTGCACAAAGCAGGCCTGCAGCCTTGGGGGCTGAGGAGCAAGCTGGGCTGCCAAGGATGGGCAGAGAGCTGTTTGAAGAAGCACAGCCTGTGCGCGAGCAGATACCCAGAACAGGCTCTTTTGTCCCAGCTGGGCACGCTAGTATCTGCAAAACCCGCATGGGCTTGATGGTGATTCAGAGGAGCAGAGCATGTCCGTTTCACATGGTCAGTGATCCTAGACTCAGCCTGGAGAAGGCACTTTTTTCCTCTCCCTTGCTCGGGAGACCTTTGGGGAATTTTTGGCCTCCGTTCACAGCTGGAGGGGATGGGTGCCTTTCTGGATAGCTGTGACAGCATCTCTTCATGTCTTACTGACACTAGCAAGGCCACATAGGGAAACAAGGAGAAGGTTGTGCCAGAGGAGACACACAAACACAAACTCCCCTTAGGAAAGGACACACAAACACCCCTTAGGAAAGGACACACAAGCACCCCTTAGTGCCCAGAGCAGTGGTTGTTTCCCTCCCTTTTGGGGACTGGCTCATAAAGGAGGCAGCTTGGGGGAAGGATCCCCTTGGTTATGCCAGAGCCCCCCAGGAAGTCACCCACTGCTGCTCTGCAGCCGTTCTGCCTGGAAATTTCTTTTATTTTATGCTTTTCCAGTGATAACTGTTCTGATTTTTTTCCTCCTTTCCTCCTCTTGCTGTCCACTCGCTGTTGCCCAAGTGCAGCAGGACCTGCCAGCCCGGACGAACATCTCAGCACCCACCTCCCCAGCACTGACCCGAGATGCTCTCCACACCAAGATGGAGCAGCTGGAGGAGCAGCTCCTGTCCAAGATCCTGACGCTGCAGAAGGAGCGCCAGGCAGCCAACAGTGACCACAGCCAGCAGCAGCACGACATCGAGAAGGAGCTGAACTCCCTCCAGAACCGAGTTGCTGAGCTGGAGCACGGTGAGTCCTGTGGTGAGGACCCATTTCCTGGGACCTGTGTGCCCACTCCACCCAAGGGTGCCACATAGGTCTCACTACCAGCTCTGGGGCCCATCCTGATGGTGCATGTCTGCAGGACCACCCCCTTTGGCCACCCTGACCCTGGGCAGCGGGCACTCATCATCCTTCCTTCTCCCCTTCGTTGGCTCACAGGGCCACCAACCTTCAGCCCTCCTGATGCCTTCAAGGTGACCATCCCTGTGCAGAACAACTACATGTACGCACGGATGAAGAAGACTCTGCCAGAGCTCTATGCCTTCACCATCTGCATGTGGCTGAAGTCCAAGGCCTCGGGTGGCCTCGGCACCCCTTTCTCCTACTCTGTCCCAGGGCAGGCCAACGAGATTGTGCTGCTGGAGTGGGGCACCAACCCCCTGGAGCTGCTCATCAACGACAAGGTCAGTAGAGCTGGGGCCCTGCAGATGAAGGTGGTCAGAGTCTTCATCACAAGCAACCCAGGGCGGGGGAATGGGTGCTTCTGGGGTGTCCCTCAGGTGTAGCCAGGCTAACTCATGTCCCCTGAATTACTTACAAGGCAGCATCAAGGTCTGGCCCTGGTGTTTTCATTGCCTTCGGCCCCAGAAGCTGGGAGAGAACGGGCAGAGAGTTGGAAATGGGAGGACAGGGAAGCTGGTCCAGGGGGCAGGGAGCTGAGGGGGAGACACAGCACGTGTCGGTGTCATTAGATTTTGGGATGCCTGAGTGCTATGGCCTTTTCACTTGCAGGTTGCCCAGCTGCCCCTGAGCCTGAAGGACAAAGCCTGGCACCACATTTGCGTGGCATGGACCACCCGAGATGGCAAGTGGGCGGCTTACCAGGATGGCACGCAGCGGGGTGCCAGCGAGAACCTGGCCTCCTGGCACGCCATCAAGCCCCAGGGGGTGATAATCCTTGGCCAGGAGCAGGTACGTGTCATGCTGGCCCTTCACCACGGCCTCTAGGGCAGTCCTGGGGCGGGACATGAGCCTGGGAGGCTCTGAGGTTGTGAGCCCCAAGTTGGGAAGTGGGGCTGGGGTTTGGGGCAGGAGCTCCTAGCATGGAGTGCCACAAGGCAGCCACCTCTCTGCTTAGGTGAGGGGCTCTTGCCCATCCTCTGGAGGAAATGTGCGCTCATCATGCTTCCTCTGCCCCCTCGTCCCTCTCCTCTCTCTCTGTCCACCCCATTCCTTGCTTTTTGCTTCTTCTGCCCAAATTGCCTCTTTTCCTGCCTCCCCCTCCTCTCTCCTGCTCCGTCCCCTGCCCTCCAGGACACGCTGGGTGGCCGGTTTGACGCCACGCAGGCCTTCGTCGGGGAGATCGCACAGTTCGGCATCTGGGACCACATGCTGGCGCCGGCGGACATCCAGGCCATGGCCAACTGCACCTCCCGCCTGCAAGGCAACGTGATCCAGTGGGATGACCAGGCAGTGGAGGTGTTCGGCGGCGCCGGCAAGGCGAGCTTCACGGCGTGCGAGGAGAGGATGAAGGCGTGAGCAGCCCCTCGCCCCCCAGCACCCATGGGAAGGAACATGGCAGTGACCCCCGCCCCGTCCTGTCCTCTCGGCCGCACCCGGACGGGGAGGCCCCGGGCAGCGTCGGCCTCGCGCCCACGCCGCACGCTCGCCTCGCTCCTCGCCTCGCCAGGGCTTCACCCCAATTCAGGCTCCCGGCCGGGCAGCCCCAGGCCCTGGGGTGACCACAGTGGTGTTGGGGGCACCCCAGTGCCCTCCCTCGCGTTGGTGTATTTCATGGTAGCGAAGGTGCCGCTCCAGTGGCCGGGCTGGCAAGCTGCCCCTGTGGGGAGGGCAGCAGTGGCGTTTGCAGCAGGGGCTGAAGCGGGAAGGGTGGTTTTTAGGGACCGGAGCCCAAGGTGAGGTGTGTTCTGGCAGCAGGGCTATTTTAAGGAAAAAAACAGCATGTTCTGGTCTGTGAGGACAAGGCCTTGGCTGCTGGGGGAGACGCGGAGCACTTTCCATTGCAAATCACGCCTGGGGTGTGAAAGAGCAGAAGACCTCGCACGCTGGGCATGTACCTGCTGCTGGGCTGCTGGAGAAACCCCAGCCCCATCTATTTACTTCTCTATCTATTTATTTATCTACCTGTTTATTTATTTGCAGTTGCTGGTGTAGCTCATTTCCTTTCTCTATTTGCCTTCAGCAGGACCTGGAGACTTTTAAGTGCCCCAAATACGAGTTCTAATTGGGCGCTATCCCTGGGCTCCAGTGATCCCACACCTGCCATTTATTTATTTACTTATTTATTTTTGATGATATGAGATAGTTGTTTTTTTCAGCCTGTAATTCAAATAAGCCTAAAGGCATGGCCGTGAGCTGCTCAACAGAAGCCTTCAGCACATTCCCTTCCTTCCCCCATCGGCTCTTCTCCTGTTTTTCAGTGGATATTGCTTCCTTCCCTGGGAAGAGCAGGTGGGGCTACTCCTGCCGTGGGTGGCAAAGCTGCTGGCAATCCTGTTAAGAAGCTCTTGTTTGCTAGGGTTGTACATAGCTAATTGAAAACACCTGTGGCCAGGGAGCCAGCAAACACTGCTCGTTCGTCCGAGTGTCGTAAATGCAGCCGCACGCGTGGACGTCTGTCACCTGTGATGGCACCAGCACGAGGAGATGAGAGTGCCAGCACCGCGGCCCTCCTCACCTGCCAGCTAGCGGGACCAGGAGCACCACGCACATCCCAGCTCGTGAGGGGATTTCAATAGCTGCCTTTACTGACCCCACAGAGAGGAAAATAAAGCAGATCCAGCCAAGAGCCATTCCCACCTTCTGCTGCATGCAGGGAGAGAAGCACCGGAGCCAGCATCTGGTGATGCAGAGAGCTAGATCCAGTGCTTTTACAGCTGAGTAGGAGTCCTGGGAGTTTGGAGAGGATTTTGTTTTCTTTTTTATTATTATCGTTTTGGGTATAACAGCCCCAAAGAAGGGCTAGGAAGCCCCTTGAGATCAGGTAATCGTCCTTTTGTCTCAGGGCAGGGTGTTTCTGAGGAAGGACTTACCCATCCTGTCTGCTAGAAAGGTCACTGAGATTTTTGAAAAAACTGCATTTTGAAAAGAATCTCAGTTGCCTTTCAGGTTTACGTGGAGGGCAAAAGGGAGTCTTTGCCTCCCAGGCTGAGGAAGAATGGGCACTGGGGCCAGGGCATCTTCCTCCCACCGGGGAGGCTGAGAGAGGGTTTCAGGAGGGCAGATCCTCTCCCAAATTTATTCCCATGCCTGCACAGCCCGTAAGTGGCATTTCTGCCCCAAGGGGAGTCGGGCTTTGGAGGCAGAGGGTTGTGATGCTGTGAAAAACAGCTGCTGTTCCCGTTGCCAGGATGCTGCTGTTTCTCATGGAGCTTTCCGGTACCCGTGGCCCCTCTTGGCTGAGATCCAGTTTCTCTGCTTGTTCGGGGTTTGCTTTTGTTTTTCTTTTCTCCCCTCCCACCCGTGAAGGAGCCAGGGGGCTCCCCGTGGCCAGGCAGGTGCCCGGCAGGGCAGGACACGGTGCTCCCGCGGCAGCACGGCCGTGCCCGTGGGATCACCACCGCGCTGGGGTGGCAGGCGGCGCTCGGCGGCTTTCGGGGAAAGCGTCGCCCCGCCACATGCCCAGCTCTGAGGGTGGCATAGCTCCTAAATGGAGTAAAGCCAAGCCAGAAGGGCGAGGAATATGGTCCTGGACGGAGGAGCTCCACTGGCTCCCTTTTGGAGCTTTCCTTGTGCCTCTTCCTTCTGCCTGCCGCCGTGAGCTGCTCCCGGACCCCACAGATGCAGCGAGGGGGACGCAGCAGGCTCACGGCAGCACCGAGCGGGGCGAAGCGGAGGGTCACTGGCCTTGAGCTAGAGGGACCATGGAGTGCCTGATAACATGATGTTTCCACGCTGCGTGGCCACCAATGTCTACATACGTGTGCGTGCGTGTGTGTGTACGCATGAGGGCAGACCAGGGAGGAGGAGTATTCTGGAGGTCTCATGGCTGCTCATGCGGTGTCCAGCTTCCATTGCTCCCCCCTTCCAGAACACGGTCCCCCTGTGCGTTGATGGTGGCTCGAGGTGATGGCGTGTCCAGCCCGCTCGCGGGGAGGCGAAGCGGGGAGGCGGCCAGGCAGGCCAGACCTGCATTTCTGGCATCGTCCTCATGTCCTTTCCCTCTCCCCGGCACCTGGCCATGCTGCCCCACATGAGGGCTGTGGGGCAGCTCAGCCCGGCCGGGGGGACAGGAGAGAAACGCAGCCATCGTGTGAAGTGGGGAACGCCGTGATTTTTGTGCACCGTGACCGCGTTGAACCCGTCCCCACTCTGCATCAAGTCGCTCGCTCGCTCGCGCTCTCTTTTGTACGTTTGTGAAACACATCGCTGCTGCGCGCCTGTGCGTGTGCGTGCCTGTGAACGTGGCGTATCGGGACAATTCCTTTTGTAAAGCTGATCATTGACAATAAACATGGCATTTCTGTTTGAGCCTCCTGCCCCGCACGCGGTCTAGCCAGGAGGGGACAGAGGGGACGACGGGATCGCTGCCCCTCAGCCCACAGACGCACTGGTCACTGCCCTGCTGCAGGTGAAGACAGGGGAACCCATGGGATACCCTCGCCCCATCCCACACGTTTAAGTGGGAAGCCTAAAGGCAGTGCAGGAGTGAGCGTCCTAGAGCGGGGAGTCGGGAACCGGTCTGCAGGACAAGGAAGCCCAACCCTGCTGCTGGAGAGCAAAAGTCAGAAGAAACTCGAGGTCAGGGCATGATGTCAAGGAGTTCATGTGGGCTACAAATCCCTTTAAGCATTCCTAATGAGCCACTGACCTACCTTCATACAACCTGGTTTGCCCTAGGATGAGGGCTGCGGGCACAGCTCTCGGCGCAGGCTATTCCAGAGCGACCAGCAGCCAGCTCTGCACAAGGCTCTTTCCCCTCAGTAGGCTGCACTTCTCCGAGCAAAGGCACCATCTCGCCACCAACTGAAGAAAACAGAGCACAAAACTGGAGCATCTGCTTTTCCCCAGGGCCTTCCCCTCGCAGGGGTGGTAGCGGGGACTGCTCTCTGGTCAGAACTGCCCCTTGGCTCCCGCTGCTCATTCTGGGGGAAATTGTAGCCATTAAAGTCTGCGCCTGTCACCTTCAGCCCTTCAACGCAGCTCCTTAAAGTTCTCTCTTTTTTTTTTTAAAAAAAGAGGAAAATAAAAGAAAAAGAAAAAAAAAAAGAAGAAGAAGCTTAAGTACGCTTAAGCACAAGCATATGCTCAAGGACTTGCCGAGCTGGAGTCTGACTCCCACGCTGCTAAGAGGAGTGGGTTCAACATGTACCCTCTGCTTGTGCATTAAGAGGAGTGGGTTCAACAAGTAAACCCTGCTTGTGCACCTAAATAATAGCAGAATAATTAAGACATCCACCTCTTTTGAAGAGGAATTGTCTGAAAGTGCTGCTGGGATCCCAGGTTTAAGTGGAGGTGAAATAAGGGGGCACCAGTTTGAAAAAAAACAAAATGGCTATTGAGAGGGAGACTCTCTATGGGGGCTTTAGGGCTGATGGCCATGGCAGAAGACCCACAGGACAAACAGAGAGGGAGGGATGGAAATGCCAGGTCACTGCTGTGGGGCACAGCAGCAAATATATCTCCTCCTGACCCCAAGAATTCAGCTCATGGTGAAATCGGTACAGAAATACCCTTAAAGAAGAAAATAAAATAGAAATGCTCATTCTCTTCCCCACACCAGGTCCCCAGCCATGTCCCTGCACAGATCCATCAGTTCTGGCCTGCAGTAAGGAGCATTGCTGGCAGCATCCCCAGCAAAACACAGCCCCAGCACAGGGCTGAACTAGCAGCTGCAGCTCAGTGATGCAAAGAGCTGCGTGAACGGCTGAAAACGGGAGCCTGGAGGCACAGCTGCTTTCTGGC